CCAAAGGACCACTCAAAGTAGCTATGCCGCTGCCCCACTTCGAGGTCATCACAATGCAGCTATGCCGCTGCCTACTCAGCCACCATGCCTGACTCTGTCCCGAGCTTCCTTGATGCGGCACTACCCCCACTGGGGCCTTCCTGATGCAGCCCCTAGCAAGGAGATGAAGATGGTGTCTACCATAGCCAGTAAGTACCTCGCCACTCTCCCCCTTGGTCCCCTTCTCCCTCCTCCTCCTACCGGCGGAGCTCCACAATAGCCAAGGTGGAAGCTCCCGGCTTCTTCCTCCCAGCAGCGCTGTGGTACCCAGCGCTACTCCAGCCAGCGCTCCAGCAGCGTGTCGCCAAACTTGCACACTGAAGAATGAGGCTGGGCTCTCCGCCCGGCCTCTTGATATAGCGGCCTACTTGCCTCCTGGGCGGTGACTTCCAGGCCGCTCAGCCTCTCCAAGCAACCGGTACTTCCTCCGTTTCTGAGGGAAACATCATTGCAGACCCTGATGTTACCCGTACAGGCTCTATAGACTCAGACTGGTTGGACTGGTACCGGCCTAGACCCACCCTACCGCTACTGGACTCTAAAAATGCCAACTTTGTCTTTTTCTACTCGGCCTCCAGTACCCCCTCACGCCAACTGCAGTCGGGTGCAGTATCGGCCTACCTACTTGAGTGTTTTTCCGCTACCCCAAGGGCCGCGGGGCCGCGGGGCCGCTAGCTTCGCCACTTGAGTGTTTTTCCCTGCTACAACCCTCCAAGCCACGGCCACAGGTAAGTATCGGCCCTACGGGTCTGCCAAACAAGCAAGTACCCTTGCGGGTCACACACACACTCATTCCGACAAGCACTTAGACGGCACGCAGGCCACAAGCACGCACACACAGACAGACTTGGAAAGCACAGCAGAATGCGGGAATCTCAGCAAGGCATCCATTCCATCGGCGGAACTTCAGAAATCAGCAGTGTTCTCAGTCTGTGTTTTGACGGGTCATTACACTACCCCCCCCTCAAGAGCGAGGTCCCTTTGAGCGAGTAACTCAATCAGAGTCCTTGCATAATGCATCATAGGCGTAGATAGCAAAGAGAGATCGGGTGTGTTCCGTAGGAGTCAGGGTAGTAGTGAATTTAGGTTGCTGTTTAGAACTGATCAATCGTTCATAGGCGTTAACGACGCGAGGTGCACTTTGCAGCAGGTCTTTCTTAGCAATCCAGTAGAAGTCATTTAGTGGGTGGTACAGAAAATGCACTTTATACTGTCGGTTTCTCCCCTTTCCACTGTGCTCGACGATTCTATCAACCTCGTGACCGCCATTGATTGTGCGGGGAATCATCGATTCTCGGTACTTTAATATCTCAGGTGGCTCATACGGAAATAACTTCGATGCGTGAAAGACTAGGTATGTGCGCAGATGAGCAGGCACATCAATCATGTAAGAAGGACCGAAGGAATCATTACCTACTCGATTCAGCACCTGCCAGGGGCCGTAGTACTGAGGAAGAAGTTTCCGTGATACACCTTTTTCTTCATAAAACTCAGACATATTGACCCAGACATAACTTCGCACTGTGAAAGGATCAGGCTAGCGCTTTTTGTTTGCATGCTTAATCATGGCACTGCGTCACCTTTCCATAGTTGTGACATCAACTTTGAGCAAACGATCATACTTAGCGATGTAGCCCGACTAGCCAGGTGTTAGGCCAAGTGGCTATTCCGGGAACAGATAAGATAGAGGATTGCGGATTTTCCATCCAAGATGCAGCCGATTAGGCATCATCCCGGTGGAGGAGTGGATGGAGTTGTTGTACAATTCCTGCACAATCGGCAACTCCTCTTCCCAAGAGTTCTGGTCAGGCACGATAAGAGCCCTGAGAAGTTGGATCACGGTCTGGTTGATCTCCTCGGCCAGTCCATTGGCTTCGGGGTGTCGACCAAACGTCATCTTGAGTTTCATGTCGTAGGTCTGGGAGGTGAAGTCCTTCCAATCTGCACTTATGAACCTGGTATCCCGATCACTCACAAGAGTCTTCGGGGGACCGCACTGCAGGATGCACCTCAACACCGAAATGTCCACTCCGGCCATGAGCCAAATCCAAGAAGTGAGTCATGATCGGCTCATGGTTGGGCACACACAATCGGTCATGCTTCCCATAACGGCGAAAGAGAAGACCCTTACATTCATGGAAATCAGGCTGACTGCTAGGGTCAGCCCGAATCTGCTCAAGGATGGGACTGAGTTCCGGATCCTTGGCAGTATGCTCTATGAGTTCCTCCTTCAGATTTTTACACAGGTCGTAGGAACCCACAAGGCAAGTCATGTACTCAGGGTAGCGCGACAAAGCATCCGCAACTCGATTATAACAACCTTTCTTGTGCTTAATCTCAAAATCATACACAACAATCTCATGCAACCAGCGGGTCGGTGTAGTTGAGGGATTGTTCTGTGTCTGAACCCATTTCAAGGTCTCGTGGTCTGAGAACACTTTGAAATGGCGACCCAAGAGGTACTGCTTCCAGTGGTCTAGTGCCTCTCTCAAGGCATAGAGTTCTCGCATGTAAGTGGAGGCAACTACCTTGTGACGGGCATACGTTTGCTGTAAAATTCTAGCGGACGTAGGCCGTCGCCGTCATCTTGTTGCAGCACTGCATCAATCCCATACAAACTGGCATCCGTAGTTACTACGAATGGGAGTTTGGGATCTGCAATGCGGAGCACCGGATGACTCACCAAAGCCTCCTTTAGTGCTTGGAGGCTGTCATGCATTCCCCATCCTATGTATAAGACACATTCTTGCTGGTTAATCTAGACAGCGGACGGGCGATGATAGAAAATTTAGGCACAAACTTACGGTAGTATGACGCAAGACCAAGAAAAGAACGCAACTCGCGGACATTC